AGATAACAGGTTTTAAAGATGAACAAATAATGATCGATAATCACGTGACCGGTGACTTCTTGCCGGGCACTGTACATTAACGTAACGTAACCATTTAAAGAACCCTAACCTAATTAACCATAACCATAACCATAACAATAACTTTAACCTAAACCTTATCCTAAAAGCATTAAATTTAACTCAATTTATCTAATGGATTTATCATTATTTGGAAAAAATAGAATTTTGAAAATTTGTCAAAGATGCAAAATTTTTTTTAAAGCTTTAATCCAGATTTCGTAAATTCCGGCCAAAAAAATGTTACTGCGTTTCGTTACGACGCTTTTTAAAAATCAATTCGCTTATATCGACTTACTTTTTAAAATGGTACTAAAATTTCAAATCAAACCAAAAAATATTGATTAAATTGTGGATTAAAAAACTTAAAAGATAAATTCTCAACGTAACAGAATTCACTATTATTTGTAGTCGTTTGCTTTATTTTTTTTATAAGCTGGATAATTTCAAAATATTTGCAATAATAATTTTCTTTTATTATTTCAATGAATTTATTTATTAAAAGAAATTGTTAAAATTGATCGTTAAATCATTGATATGCTTTATAGTATATTGAATTTTGGTTCACGTATTTTTTCATTGCTTTTTCTGTATTATATAAAATGATTTGCCTTTTTTTAATAATACATTGATATTTTGGGTTGTAAATATGGATTATTTAGAAGCTAACGGGCAGTGTTAAATTGTTTCTTATTATTTGATTTCATTTTAATTTTGAAATAAAAAAAATAGATTGCAAATAGTTAATTTATTGTTAGAGTTGATAACACATGAAATATTACGAAATCATTTTTTATCATGGCATTATATTAGTTATCAATCGCCGATACCACAAGGATCACGGCGGGGCCGTGATCCCTGATGATATCTCTGATTTCGCGTAAATTACTATTATATGTATACTACGTGAAAGTTGCCAAGAGGAAATTGTTTTTTTATTTGCGAAATGTGGAATTGGTTGAATTAAAAAACAATTTTAATTAGGATTATAGCTCGAACCGCAGTAAATTCGATTGCTAGATCACGTTTTTATTATTCGAATCCAACTTATTCTTCACCATAAGTCTAAATTTATTAAAAATACTTTTATGTATGCTTTGAATCATACCATGATAATTAAAAATAACGCGTAATCTTTTCTATTTCTTTTTTATATATATTTTTTGCAAAGGTCATTCATTGGCTTTTGTTAAAGATTTTTTTTTTTTTTTTTTTGAGGGAATACCTTTCCCCCTTTTCATGATAAGGAATGATCTTAAGGAAACACCACAACTATCCATGATTATCAATTTAAACCCCTGTGGCGTTATATTAACTTTGTCATAATAACTTATTTTGTTTAATCACCTGTTGTAACTATTTGTAAACATAAATCACATCATTCCCCAAACTCTAAATCAATAAAGAAATCTGGTTTTTTGTATCAAGTAAATCTTACTAAATCTCAATGAACAAGAAAAAACCCCTCGTTGATAACACACAAATTACCATAAAAGTTTACTCAAACATCTGATAAGAATATACTTAAAGTTCACTTGCATATGAAAGATTTAAAAAAAAAGTAAAAATTTTTAATTTTTTCAAATAAGTAAATTGTTTACTAAAATTACACTAATAGAACGTTGTGTTACAGTATAAGATATTACGTTTATGATAGATGGATATATATAATTTTTTTTTACAAGTTTATTCCCAACAAAAAATCCTTCAAAACATTCTCCCATAAAATATTCCGTGCAAGAAAGCTCAATTTTCATTATGAAGTCTAGTATAACCGTTTATTCTAACTATTCTAAACCAAAATCTTTTCAGAGAATTCATTAAACGACCTCTTGCTTTAAGTTTTACTACGGCACCTTTGGAATTAATGATCCATTCGGGTTTAGACCACCAATGTAACATTAAACTACTACATACAACACTAACGCTACTACAAATCATGGCAGCTCCGGCCATCATAGGATGTAAAGACCATCCAAAGGGTAAGAATATACCCATCGCTAAAGGAATTCCAAGTATATTATAAAGACATGCCCAAATAAAGTTCATTTTAATTCTAGTGAAAATGGTCCTCGATAGATCAAATGCGGCCACAACATCCGTCACATCATTTCTCATTAAAACAATATCAGCAGCTTCTATGGCAATATCAGTACCAGAACATAAGGCGATCCCAACATCAGCGGCGGCTAAAGCAGGTGAATCATTTATCCCATCCCCCACCATCGCTACAATATTACCACGTTCCCCCTCACGTTGTAATGACTTGACTATAAGTGTTTTTCCTTTTGGTGAAACTCCGGCATGAATTTCAGTTATCCCACATTGCGACGCAATTGCTTCTGCGGTAAGTTGTTGATCCCCCGTAACCATGGCAACTTGAATTCCCATTTGATGTAAGGCCCCAACCGCTAATCTTGCTTCAGGTTTAATTGTATCTGATAAACTAATTATTCCAATAAATTTTTTATTAATAGCCACCAATACAACAGTTCTGCCAAGTCTCTCTTGTTGTTCTTTGAATAACGTTGCTGTAAGTGGTATGTCGATCTGATAATTTTGTGAGAGAAGTTTAACGTTTCCAACCAAGATTTTGTAAGATTTTCCCACGGTTGAAGTGTTTTTCGTCATTGATGGTACGAGGGAATAAGATTTATTTAATATCACATTACATTTCACTCCTAATCCAGCCAAAGCTTCAAAATTATTTATAACTGCATCAATATTCTCAACTTCAAGTAATTGTTTGGCATGATCAACTATGGCTTTACCGTAAGGATGTTCACTCGATGATTCCGCTGCCCCAACTAGAGCAAAGAATATTTCGGGACTAAATTCCAAATTTTCACTTATCAATTCAAAGTGAGCGACATCTAATTTTCCTTTTGTCAATGTACCAGTTTTATCAAAGACAACCTTTGTTACCTTTTGTCCCGATTCCAATGACTTTCCTCCTTTAATAAGTATACCATTTTGTGCGCCAACCCCGGTTCCAACCATTACGGCCGTAGGTGTACTTAATCCAAGTGCACAAGGACACGCTACGACTATAACTGATATACTTAATTTTAAACAAACCATGAATTTACTTGATTCATCATTAAAGATATCCGGTAATGTTGAAAGTACCATGGTAGATAATATCATCCATACGACGAATGTAAGGACGCCAAATACGATGACAGCAGGTACAAAATATCCCGCCACTTTATCAGCAAATTCTTGTATTGGAGCTTTTGTTGTTTGTGCCTCTTCAACCAACTTGACAATTTGTGCTAATGCTGTATCGCTTCCTGCCCTGGTAATTTTCATTTCGAAACTACCTGATCCATTAACAGTTCCTCCAATTACATTTTCACCAGGAAATTTCTTGACGGGGATAACTTCACCCGTTACCATACTTTCATCTACGGTCGATTCGCCAGTAACAACTACCCCATCAGCCGGAATCTTATCCCCTGGAATAACTTTTACTACATCTCCCAATTGAATCAAATCCGTCGAAATTTTTTTTTCAGTTATCTCGTCTGTGATGGTGTTCCTTAAAAGGATGGTGGTCATGGAAGGAGTTAATGACATTAATTTGGATAAAGCTGTTGATGTTTGTCCTTTTGCTAAATTCTCTAAATATCTTCCAAGCATAACAAATGTAATCAACATTGTAGATGTATCAAAGAAAACTGGTTGCCTTGGATAATTTGGATCAATGAAGATGATGTATGCCATCACAAAACAAGAAAAGAAAAATGCAGCGGAAGTACCTATAACCACCAAGACATCCATCGTAGCAGTCTTATGTTTAAGTGCCTTATAAGAGACGACATAGAATCTTTTACCGATAATGAATTGTACAGGAATTGTAAGAATTAAACTAATTAAATCACCACTATAGAGTCCAGGATATAACTCGAAATCAATAAATCTGCTTGCAAAAGAAAATTTAGGTAACACCATATAAATTAAGAAAACAGGAATAGCAAATGCTAAAGACCAATAAAATGATTCACGCCATTCATTGATTTCTTTTGTACGCGACAAAGATTCTAATTGAGCATTATAATTATTATTGTTAAGCAAAGCGTTAAAACCAAATTCTTCTATTTGATAAACTATATCACGTAAACCAACTATTTCCTTATCAAATTGAATTTTGGCCATGGTTGAACCGAAATTTACTGATGCAGAAATTATTCCCGGGAAAAGCTCCAAATTTCGTTCAATTGTATAAGCATCTGATGGTATCTTCATACCATAAATACGTAATTCTACTTTATCTTCACGTTGTTCCGGAATTGGAGCGGCTTCAAATCCAAGATCGTTTATCTTATTAGTTATTGCTTTTTCATCAATTACAACGGGATTATATTCCACGGTAGCCCTTTCTACTAGTAAAGAAATCTTAACAGAGATGATTCCTGGGTCTTTTTTTAAGGCCGTTTCTATGCTATGTACGCAAGATGCGCATGTCATTCCATGAACCGACAATTTAGCAATTTTTAATTTATCTGGTTCAAATTCATGAATGTTAACCGACACTAATGTTGACGCGTTATAATCTTCTGGATTTCGTGGAGAAGTAAAAGGTTGATCTTGTTTTGAAGTAGGAACAGATGGTGAGGAATTTGGTACATCGTAACCACAAGTTTCGATAACTTGGATAATTTGATCTTCAGTTAATTTCCCCGTGTCATATTCCACTTTAACTTGCTCGCCTTCTAAAGAAACGTCGACGTTAATAATACCGTCAGTTGGTCTCAATACATTGTTAATACTATTAACACAACTATTACAAGTCATTCCTTTAACAGGCAAAGTAACGATATTATATTTTGCGACATCATATCCACAATTTTCAATCGTTTCAATAATTGTTGATTTCGCTAGGTTATTTGAATTATAAGAAATTGTTGCTTCTTCGTTTGCTAAACTTATATCTACTTTCGAAATGGCGGGTAAATCAGATAAAGCCTTTGTTATGGAATTTACGCATGAATTACACGTCATTCCTCTAACCGGAATAACTATTACATCTAATAAAACATCCATTTTATATATTGTATATGTATATGTGTATGTATATATATATATATATATATTGTATATTGTCAAAAAAATGGAAGGATGAAAGGTAGGGGGGTTTTTTTTTTCAGCAAAAAGTTCGAAATTGAATCTTATATAAAGAAAATTTCGGATGTACAAATTTATAAATAGTCTTACAAGAACGATTACAAGATTGCAGATTACAGTTTGATATTTGTAGAATTTTCGATAAACTACTATATATTGTATTGATTGTATAAATAATTATTTGCGACATTTTTGCTAAATTTTTCAATGATTACACGTTTATCTATAAAAGTAATTATACATGATGAGCCATTTATGCTACGGGATTTCCCACTTGCATGACTAATAAACCCATTTCATTAAGGTTTGAAATGTTTTTTTCGCAGCCAAAGAATTGCAAAAAACAAGAATACTTTGTATATGTTTGAAATGCAAGTTTTTGGGGAACAATTTTTGACTCCAATATGTGCTTTTATCTTGAAAGGGTTTAATAATCAATCATGAGAAAAAATTCAACGAAATAAAGCATCTTTTTTTTTCTCTTTTTTTGAGGTCTATTAAATGTTTTATTAATATAAATTATTAATGTTTTTTGTTTTAAGAATTATTTTATTATGAGAAATAACAAAAAAATAAAATAAACAAAAATAGATATAGTGGAAAACTTGATAACCCTTACAGGCTTCACCCAAGAATTCAGCTAAAATCCATTCCAACCATGATTAAATGGCTGAAACTGATAGAAGATTGGTAGAAAGAGAATGTACACAGGTTGATTTATTAAATGCATTTTTTTCGGTTTAATTTGATGTAATCAAATGAATTCATAACTTTTGATAATAAAATATTATTTATTTATTAATTTATTTAATTTTTGTTACAATTATTTAATTATTACAATAAATAACATTGCATTGGAAAATTACAATTTTGACAATTTTGCTTTAGCCTTGTTAGGTTTAAAGAACTTTTCACTAATATTCTTTCTTTGAATTTTACCGGTAGGTGATCATGCACTTCTTGAGAAACTAAATCAAATCTAAAAGTTGCAAATCTTGTAAATTATATTATAAGTTAATTTTAATAATATTTAACTTTTAAATAAATTATATATATTTAATAAATTTCTTTTGGTAGAAAAAAATAGTATATTTTTTTAAATTATTAAAAACATATATTACAAAATAATAGCAAGATAAATTTTTTTTAAAGAATAATATTATTAATAAGTTCTTTTAAAATTTTTAGTTTAATTTAATAAAATATTTAAAATCTTTATTATAATTTTTTTTAAAATTTAGACCTTGTTTTACTTTATTAAATTTAAGTAGTTTAATTAAAAAATATATTAAAAAAATATATATTATTATAATTTATTTAAATATAAAAATAATTTTTTAGAATAATTTTAATTTTTATAATATGTATTAATTAATAATCATAAAATTTAAAATATAAATTATTAATTTAGTTAAATTTACTATATTGATTAATACATTTTTAACATTATTAGTTAGTTAAATATTATTAAATATTAAAATAATAAAATTTTATCTATCAAAATTAAATATATAATAATTTTAATAATTTTTATATTAAAAAATTTATATATTTATAAATTTTACATATAAAATAAATTTAATAAAATTATACAAATATTATTTAAATATAAGAATAAAATAAATATAATAAAACATTTTTAAATGCATCCTCTTTAAAATCATAATAAAAATTTGAAAAATATATATTTAAAGAGAATGTGTATTTAAAAAAAGAAATTTTGTATAATTTTTATATACTTGAATTATGTGAAATATGCATTTATAGAAAAAACATATGTGTGTACATTTAGAAAGAATGCATTTAGAGAAGGCTTATTGTACATAAAAAAAAATAATTATTAAAAATTATAAAATTATAATAAAATTAAGATATTTTGATATTAGTAATCATAAAAATATGAAATTTAACTTAACTTATTAGATTCATTTAATTATGATACATCTAATAAAACTATAATTATATTTCACATTGTAAAAGCTCAATGCTTTAAAAAAAATAATCTCTGCTACATTGAATCAAGAGACAAATTGTGTATTCAATAAAATACAAACAGAATATCACAAACAGCATAAAAATGAAGGTATTGATTATCCAGATGAATTTTTATTAGAATTAATTAGGAAGAGATCGAGCTAACTTTTAAGTCAAATGAGTTGAGTCAAGTTGAATCAAATCAAATCAAAAAAATTGACTCGTTTAACAGTCAAATTCAAGTTAAGCTTGATTTGACTTAAATACAAAGTCAAGTCCAAAATCAAGCATTAATAAATTAAAAATTATATTATTTTAAATTTTTTATCTAATAATTATAGAAAAATATAATTTAATATATTAAATTTTCATAAAATAGTATTAAAAAGTAGTATTTTCATATTTTTAAGTTTAATAGATAGTAATATTTTGATTAAATAATTAGATTATTTTTATAATAATTCATTACTTATTTATTATTTATTTTTAAAAAATTATTAACTAATAGCATTTTTTTTGGATTTTACTTAGAAAACATTATAAAATTTATTATAAATTTATTATATTAATAAAATATTTTAAAAATTATTTTAAAATGATTTTAATTAAAAAATAAAAATATCTTTAAATTTAAAAAACTATTAAAAATGAATAATATTAAATTAATATTTTTTTTTTAAATTTTTATCAATTTTAATTAATTTATCTATTACTTCTATAATTATAATTATTATTTATTATTAAAAATAATTATTATATAGAATATTTTTTAAAAATTTATTTCTAAATAAATTAATGTAATTTTTTATCATTTGATTTAAAATATTAATTATTTTAAAAAAATTTATATATAAGTTATAAAAACTGATCAAAATTAAAAAATCAGACATAAAAGTACTTTACAATAAAAAGGTACAAAACTCTAAAAAATTAAATTTTACTTTATAATTAAATATAATTTTTTAGTAAAATAAGTTGAAATTTAATATTAATTCATAAAAAATTTTTTAGAATTTTGTATCTTTCTATTATAAAGCTCTCATATAATAAAAGATTTATTAATTATCTATTAATCAAACATAATTATTAATCAGCTAAAAAATTAATCTAAATCAACCTATCTGATTTATAACTAATTAGAATTAAATCAAAAATTAAAAATAGTTGATCTAATCAGATAATATAAATATTTAATTTATGTTAATTTAATATTTACCAAGTAATTATAATTCAAAATAAATATATTTATTCATGAAATAATAAGATAAAAAATAAAAAATAAAATAAAATGAAACAAAAGAAATAAAATATTAAAAATAAAGTGAAAACGTGATAAGCTAATTGTCTTTTAAAACTACTAAAAATAATTTGTTAAATCCTATTTTTTACATAAGCTAAAAAAGCTACCTATTTATTATAAAAAGTTAAAACTAATATGTTATATATGTCTGATTTATTAATTATGCTTAATAATCAGATATGTCATATATGGGAGGTTTGCTAGGAAAATGGGCTCTGAGCATTTTTTATTAAAATTTTAATTTTTATTGCATTTTAATCTAACATTATCAAAAATTAAAATGCAATAAAAATTAAAATTTTAATAAAAAATGCTCAGAACCCTCAGAACCCAATTTTCTTAGCAAACCTCCCATATATCAAAAATGATAGATATATTAAATTTGTCAAATTTATCAATTATTTGTATCACTTATACTGCATTATATGCATTATATTTATCTATTTATAATATCAATATATTAAATTATTAGTATATTACAAAAATTTTATATAATAATAATATTATATTATATTGATTAATATTAGTATAAAATAATAATAAACTAATATCTTTTTAATAAATATTTAAATTTATTAATTAAATAAAAATTAAGTAAGTTTTATTAGAAATAAAAGTGTCTTTAAATTTTATGAAAACTTCACAAAAAATTACTTATAAATTACTATTTTATCTTCAACCACAATTAATACCTCTATAAATTTTACATTATTATATAGTTTTTTTATTATTTTGCAAATGTATTCATTTTGTTTTAATTTCAAAATATTTTAAACATTCAGATAGATATAAAAGAAATAAGAGAATAAAAAGGTCTTTTGATTTTTCTGACGGAATATATTCTTTAATTATCTTACTCATCTAATGATTATATTGATTTCTAATCTTTACTTTAAAAAGTTTATCAAAAAAATATTAAGTGGTATAATTTGGAAGTTAATTTATCTAAAATGATTACTATGTTAAATTTTTTTACAAAACCATTTTTTTACAGCTTTAGTTTTGTAAGTAAAAATGAATCTAATACTAAGAGAAATTTTGAATTGCTTTTTTGTTATAAACATTTTATCTAAATATATTTGATCTATCATATTATTTATTTTTTATTCATTTATTCTTATAAATTTATACAAATTACTACATCTTTAAAAAAATTTTCACAGGAAATCTTTTTGAATTTGAAAATAATAATTTTATTCCATCAGTTAAACAAGCTGACACTATAGTAAAATTTGATTTTTCATGATTTGTATATAAAATTAATACAGTTTTAGGACTAGATATTTTTACAGTTATATTACTTGAAAAATTAAATGACATTAGCATTTTATTCATATTTCTAATAAGAAATAATAGATATTAGTTCTCTTTTTTCAACTACATAACATACAATAAAAATTCTGATTGTTTTTTTGCATAATCCTCAGAAAATATTATGCAATTGTAGTTTTTTTTTTATTTGATAAATTATGTTAAAATATAAAACTATTAACCTATTTATGTGAAAATTTAGCATTTCTTATATCAGGATTAGAGCTCCGAATCAGGTCAGGTCAACCTGTGACCCGACCCGACCCGACCTGAAAAATCCAGGTCAGGTAGACAA